AAAAAAAAAAAAATCACCTGATAGTGATTTTATGACTTGGGATGCACCTTTTCTCTCTAAAGAGCCTTGACAGCGTAGACCATTAACGAAACACAGATACACATAGTACGCACACACACACACACACACATACAGAGATAAAGAGCAAGAGAATATATATATATATATCTAAAGTAGATAATAACATTCCCCTCTTTTTTACTCTTCTCACACTACAACAGAAAGTGAGTTGTAAATACAAAAAAAAAGAAAAAAAAAAAACAAAACAGGAACAAGAACAACAAGAAAGAATAAAAAAAAAAAGTGAGGAAATGAAAGATAGTCAGCTTAAAGTGAGAGCAATCTCTTTTTTTTTTTTCTTATTCTTATTATATTTTACATTTTCACTGCATATCGTCTATTATCCCTCCACCTCCTTTCTTTTTTTCCCCTTTCTTCTCTTCTTCTTTTCAGAGTTAAAACTGCCTGTTCGTTTCCTTCTTCTTCTTCCTCTTCTTTCTTTCCCTGCTTTCTTGATTTTCTTTTCTTTAAACATCATCATCATCCTCACCATCATCCTCAAGGGCTTCTCTTCTCTTCTCTTCTCTTCCATCCATTGTTATTGCTAGAGTCCTTTTCTCCCTAACACTATTCCCATTATAAATCACCCCACTCAAGGCAGTACTCTCGTTTACGCGGAGTCCGCCAGTTGTTTCTGCAGCTCTGCGATGTCTGGTGTGATGCTTGGCACCGGCGTGCAGAGAAAGCGGACGAGCTCCTCAATCTCCACGCGCCCCTCCTCGTCCGTGCGCACCTCCGCGAGCAGTTGGCGCACCTCCGCCTCGCCCATCTTCTCGCCGAGGGATGTGAGCAGCGTGACGAGTTCCGCGAGCCGCAGCCGGCCGGAGCCGGTCGCGTCGAAGGCGCGCAGGGCGGTGCGGAGATCATCCTCTGAGGGGCCGGCGTACGGGCGGCGCATGAGGGCGACGAAGTCCGGCTGCGGGACGGGGTCTGGCAGGCCGGCGAAGAGTTCGGTGAACTCCGCCTCCGTGTAGCGGCGGCCGAGGCTGCGGAGAATGTGGCGGAGATCCGTCTGGCTCACGGCCCCACTGCGGCGCTCGTCAAAGAGATTCCACGTGTCGGTCCATTCCTTTGGCACAGCCATCTTTTTCTTTTTTTTTTTTTCCTTCTTTTTCTGCACTTAATGTGGAGAGATTATTATATGGATTTGTGGACTTTGGGTCTGTGGGTGTTGGGAGGATTCTATCTATCTGGGGATATATATATATATATA